ATTAGCCCCGATGCTATCACCATATATGTATTAGCTCAGCGCTACACATTCTCCTCTCGTCACTGAGGACCTCCATCCACATGACAGAGAGGGGAACGCAAAAATGACTCGGACTGCAACTGAAAATATGGATGGAGGACCTCAGTTTAGCTTGTTAGTTTGTCACACTAGCGCCGAGCTAATACGGCAATATAGCATTGGCACTAACGCAAAAGCTAACAGGCTAAGCTGAGGTTCTTCTTCCATGAAGCAGCTCTGTTGTCCTCCATCCATATTTTCAGTTCCAGGCTGAGTCATTTCTACCTTCTCCTCTCTGTCAACGCTCTCTGGTTTCATTTAAAAGAGTCGATCATCAGATATTGTCCAAGATTAACCTTCAGGGTGGATATAGCTCGCTAGCAGCMTCGCACCAATGACCTATCCACGTCATCATTTACCCAGAATGCTTTGCGTGTAAATAAAATGGCCCCATCCATGTTAAAATATATTTTTTAAAATTTACAAAACTAAATGGCCTACAGTATTTTTAGTCTTTATTTTACAGTTAAATATATGTTTATCAAATAAAGTCTAATGTTACAACTAATCAGGGATCCCTTTAAGCTCAGCTGTGGTAGCCATCTTGGACTCAGCTGACACCAAAAGTTAATCAGCTTTAGATGTATCTAAACTAATAATTTCTGAAGATTTTGTTAAAATCTGACCAATGGTTCATGAGAGACTACATGAACACAGACGAAGACATCGTTGTCTTTACTGTAGACAAAGGGTGTCCAATCCTGGTCCTCGAGGGCCACTATYATGCATGTTTTACTTGRTTTTTCTGCTCTAACACACCTGATTCATGGTTGAATTACCTCTTCAAGTTCTACAGAAGCCTGTTAATCACCCATTAATTTAAATCAGGTGTGTTGGGGCAAAGAAACCTCTAAAACGTGCAGGATAAAAGGTCCCTGAGGATTATTTCAACACCTCWGCATGCTTTAGTCTGAAAATTTGTGGTCTTGGGCATTTTTTTCTGTTCCTTTTTAAAATTAAAAGTAATTTTGATTAGAAAGTTTCTCATGTTTTTTACAGTTTGAATAGTTCACCAAAACTGTCAGCTGTGAATAAAAACGTTTCAAACATTTGGTTTTTCTTGCTCTTCAGTGTCCCCAACATTTTCTCTTGTAGTTTAGCCGTAATGAGTCACGCCAGTCAAAAAGTCTGTTTTTCATTTTGACTTTGAACAATAAACTGTGCAAGTTTTGTACAACACGTGCGTCACATGCATCCATCACTTTCTACAAGGAAGCTGAGTGGCAGATCAGTACCGTTCAGCGCTTGTGGTTAAAACGATTGTGTACTTTTGCTTTGTTGTGTTTTATTTTTTTTATTGCTACATTCTTTCTTGACGCACTTTACGTCGAGGAGATTAAAGTCGTGTTTCTGTGTCGAAGGTTGGGGCTTTACTGGTAGACCCATATGTGCTGGTGTTTGTCTGCAGAGATATGAAAGGCTGTCAGGCCTGGATAAACAGCCACTTATACAGACCCATGGCTGAGCAGCATATGTTGCAACAGCTGCTTACAGTATGTGATATGCAATGTGTGGAGGCAGTGTGGACATTCAAACAGGTCTTTTAGGGTAAACAAGTTTTCAACAACATTCAGTAACAGAAYAAGTTTGAATAATTTGAGCCAAAATTTCAATCTATATCTAAATTTTATGTATTAACCTTTATTTAACCAGACAAATCCTATTAAGATCACATATCTTTTGCAAGGGAGGCCTGGACTAATGCTCCATTTTCTCCTCTTGTACAGTTCATGTTTTCCAAGAAAAGAACCAGTTAAAAATCAACTTTTAGGAAGAGTTCAGTCTTTCCATACTTGACAGGAACTTTTACCCAGTGCTTGTTATGTATGCAGATCAATAAAATATCAATACCACCAATACCAGAACTTRTGCTCTAAAATTGATACTAAAATCAAAATATGGATACTTTGATTCTTCAGTCATTTCAAGTAATATATACAGTATCATTACCAGGAACACAGTAGAAAGTAACTAAACTATTGAAATCTTGTCTAAGTCACGGTTGGTGGAAACTACTTTTTYTTCTGCCTGGGTAATACATAAACTCCAAGGAGGTTACATAGAACAACTTCAGTGCTCAGAAACCACGTGACCATGTGATCGGTTGGTGAAGCTAACGCTAATGCAAAATGGTCAAGAGTCTGGATTTACCATTACTGTACATGGTGGCAACAGAGCAGAAAAAAATTTACTGATGATGTAGAAATCATTAAAACTAATAATAATGTTAACCCAATTATTAGTAATATTTTACAGTTGTCAGAAAAGCTGTTTGTGTTATGGATTTATTAACAGAAGAGAAGCAGGAAAACGTCTCATTTCACAACACAAGTCAGCAGATTTGATCTCATTTATCTCAATGTGATCTGAGCAGAACTGAAGCTAATAATATAACATTTTAAAATTAAAATTATCTTATAAAGTCAATGTAATCACTGTTCTTAATTAAACTGGTTAGCAGCTATTAGCTTGTGGAGTGTATAGAGTGTAGCTCTGCTGAATCATGCTACAATAAAACACAAACTATTAAATATCATAAACTGATTTGTTCTGTGATTAATATTTAGACCGACACAGTGTAAAATATTATTATAAATGTGAGTATTTTAAGATTTCTGTTAGAGGAACCTGACCTGTTGAGAAGGTGGTTAGCTAATAGAGACAAGTTAACTGGTAAATATAAATATTATTTTTCATGACAGTAAGAAGAAATAATAAATATAATTTATTACTAGCTGAAGTCATCATTTTTCAACTAACTAAAGTCTAAGTTACAGGCTGACTTCAGGTCTGGTTTAGATCATTGTTACTTATAAATTATATATATTTTCTGGTATAAATCTGCTGTTTTACATGATTGTTGAATTAAATTAACATAGTTATTAATTTATTGAAAAAAATACAGATAATTTGTGAAACAGATCCGGTTCAGCTTGCTGTTTATCTATTAGCTGCTATGGTGTCTGTGAGCTGTAGATGGGATGGGTGGGGCTCAGTCTAGTGTTCTTATTCAAGTCTATGATAAGCTCAGTCTGGAGATGTTACATGTTCAATATTTTCATGCTAATATATTCATGTAAAGGATGTTGTTTGCTTGTGATGCTGTAAAAATACAAGTAAAAGGTCAACAGAGTGTGTTTTCATACAGATATCATAGATCCACAAATCAAGCAACAAATTTGCCTCTCAGACTACACTCAAAAAACAGATTGTTGGATTTAAACAACAGCTAATGTCAACATTTTCCACTCAACTGAGTTGGGTAAGTGTAACGCAACTTTCACATTTATTTTAGAGAAAATGTGAAAGTTGCTTTACACTTAATCAACCCAGCTGAGTGGAAATTGTTGACATAACTTTTTAAGTAAATCCAACACATCTGTTTGAGTGTAGTGTTAAAATAATTCAGTTAATTTTCGATTCAGTCTAGTCTGATAAGCTTTTGTTAGATCCATATAAGCAGTAATTTCAAACAGCTAATCTGAAACAGTTTTCTTTTTTTAACTTAAGAAATAGTTTTCAAACTGAGACCTACTGAAGATGCAGGCTTTTACTCTTTTATTTAAATTATTGTGATTGTCAGCAAGATTCTTAACTTGAAACTAATCAAATAACTCTTTTATAGTAATGCTCGCTTCATTATTTCTTTACCTGCTATAAATGTAGGATCTTGGCAACTTTAAGAGTTTGGTCGAGCTCCTCAAGCACATACAGTATTTGCCTTAACACTTCCTTACTTCTCAGATGAAGGTTAAACTTTGTCAAAAAATATCATTTGATTTGTAATATTCCACAGAAATTAAATGAAATAATTTCTTTTCTGCATGAGAACTGTTTGTTTCTTCAAATGCTGTTTCTGAATAAGAGTGCAGTGGGCCGTGATAAAAAGGGTCAGGTGGATTCCTGCCCATTTGACATGATGGATGACTCTAATCTCACTGATTAAAGGATCCCCCCACCACCTCCAGCACCCCCTTCCATAACACTTCATTTCACATTTGGCCCGTTTAGCAGAATTTTGAAGGCAGAACCTGCCTACTTCTTCTGAAGAATAACAAGCACTGCAGGATTTAGTTTGAATCCAACTGCTGCAGATTTTCACAAAATCTACAGTTGATTTATTTATTTATTAGAAAGATAACTTTTTTGTTTTACATCTGTGTCTTTGTAGTATAATGAGGTAATTTGTTCTTGCTGTTCAGTCCTGAGGCTACTCCAACCATGTTCATTATTGGCGCTTTCAAAGGTTTCCTGGCTTTTGCACCTTTCAGGAGAAAAAACAGCTTGTGTATTTAAAGCTACCGTTTGCTGCCAAGTATTAAGGTTTTAATCACTTGTGCGTCACTCTGCCGTTCCAAAGCGAAAACATCAGCACAAATCCCCGGAAGAGGATGGATAAAATAGGGGCAAATTAATAGGCAGACATGAGGAAGGAAATGAATTCTTAATCTTATTTGGTTGGGTTCCAAATAACTTATCACTGACCATTATCGTGTCTCTGAGATCCCAAAGAGGAAGCAATTTGAATGGATAATTCCTGCTAAATCATTCCTGTGTTTGGATATTTCCTTTTCCCGACAGAAGTGAGGAGGCCCACTGGCACTGACCTGCTCTCTGCTGGGATTCAGTTTTCTCATTACATGAAAAGATCTTCACAACACAACCTGCTGTACATTTCATTAAAAGCAGCAAAAAAGCTCACATCTGGAAGATAAACTTGCATGATTTGGAAAATATTGGCATTCACTTTAATTATTAAAAATTTCAAATCGTTAAAGACTCGTAAACAAAATTGTTGGGTTATTTATGCCACTGTTAAAAAATGGATCAAAGATTATCTTTTTTATGAGATGGTAGCTAAAGCACATGAAACAGTGAAGATGGACGTTTGTCACAACTCAAAGTGTTTCTGTTCTCTGCAGGAAACACAGAGAGGAACCTCTGAGGTATTGAGTTCCCTGCATCCATCATTTTCAACGAGTTGGGAGCTCGGAACAGCGCCGGCAGCGTCTGCGTTATCCAGCCGTAACTGACATTGAGTGCATTGTTTGCAGCTGGAAGCTCACGGCTGTGGCCTAAAGGTACATTCCTGAGATCAGAATGCCTGTTTGAAACACAAACAGGCTTTGTGCCCCCACTGCTCCCTTCCCCTGACTCCCTCATCCACATCAAGCCTTGAGAACTAAACTGCCTCCTCTTGCTTGTGTGTCAACATGTGGGCTATCATTTTACTCACACCCACACATGCTCTCTAGCTCTCACTCACACACACACACTCACACACACACATGCACACACATATGTTTGTGTCATTTTGATGATGAAGTCCAGGCAGATATCTGAGCTATAAAAGCTCTTGTGGAAGAAAAGCTGTGAAGTCCCAAATTTCCAGAACAAAAAAATTATGTCTCCTGTTTTCTGACCTTTTTTTAAAGGAGAAAAATAGAAATGTGAATAAAAAAAGAGTCATACTCCATGTAGGCCATAAGTTCGCCACTATATTATCACATTTCAATACACTCAACTGACTTGTGCCTTCTCAGATCAAAGCCTGTAGACCAGGAATGTGCAGTCCTGGTCCTCAAGGGCCACTATCATGCATGTTGTAAGGCTATTTATTTTGCACTGCAAAGCCTCGCCCAGGTCAGTCCAGGCCGGCCTGACTTCAAACCCAGGTTCAGCATGTTTCCATTAGCCCAGTTTCACCCCATTTCTGGAACCCCAAGACCTGTGGTTCTATGCGGGCCRAGCAATCTGGCTCAATTTGACACCCGCTGCTGCTCGTTGATTCATTGATAGAGGGGTTACATCACACAGATGAGTCATTTTACGTGAATCGTATGCAACAACTGTAACGTTTATTTCACATGGGTTTAACTACACAGCAAATGTAGCCAGCTAGCAAACAAAAAGCTAGTATTAGCTACCATTAGCTTACCGTGTGCGGCGGCTGTGTCGGAGTGGTTAGGGGACTTGTCCTGCAACCGGAAGGTTGCTGGTTTAGTTGTTGAGTYYGTGGGCAAGACACTTCACCCACCTTGCCCACTGATGGTGGTCAGAGGGTGCGGTGGCACCGCTGCATGGCAGGCCCACCTCTGTCAGTGTGCATGGGTGAATGTCTGTAAGTTTAAAACACTTTGGGGTCCAGGGGGACTTGATAAAGCGCTCTAAGTTCAGTCCATTTACCGTTCTCTGCAGTCCTGCCCTCTCATCTTAAGTGTCATATTGCTCGATGGTCTGGTACAAACTTTGGTACTTTAGCTTCAAATTTGGCATTGTCCATTGTTGTTGCATTTAAAACAAAATAAGACTTCCGCGTATTTAACATTATGATCCTGCCCACATCACTTTGCTCAAGACTAAAGCCCCATCCCCACGGACCTGCTTGTACGTGTTTCAACTCGGCTCAGTCTCAGCCCAATATGTCTCCATTAGGTTCCAAGCACGCACAGCCGTGCTGTTTCAGAACCTCCTCGCCGGTGGTTCTAAGCGGTTAGAAGTGAGTACAGCACACTAATGCTACGTTCACACYGAACGCATTTTGAGCAGCAAAAAAGCGCCCAACGCCGCCAGCTGGACGCACCATGTTCAGACCGGGACACAAACTAGATGAGCGTCTGAAGAGGAAGGAGCGTCTTGGTTTTTTTCCAGTCTGTCCTCGGCGGATGAAATAAAGCTAAAATAAAAGAAATGGCTTTGATTTATTTACTAAAGAGCAAGCGAACGTTGCGCACAGCAGATAATTAATTCACCAGATGGTTTAGAGGCGATTTGTTCGGTTAGTTTCGCCACTCCATAAGCTGCAAGCTGACGGACTTTTATTTTTTTGTCCCGAGCAGCTGACCCACATCGGTACTGATATATCCTGACAGAAAATCCAACTGTACACGGTCAATTTCAGCTAAAGATCTCCTGTCYGTCTGTTTCGGTTTAGTGGGCAACATTCAGGAAACTGTCACGTGGACAAATGAGTCTCTCTGATTGGTTGTCGAGCGGCGAAAAGTTCAGATTTTTGAACTCGGGCGTCAGCACCGCATGCACAGAAAATGCTCTGCCGCATCTTCAGCGTTCCTTGCGCGTCGCGCAAAACTGACGTGATGTGACGCACGACCCCTAGAGGTGCGTCCACCATAGACTTTGCATGTAACCTGGCTGCTCCTGCAGCTCAAAACGCGTTCGGTGTGAATCCGCCATTACAGTTTTGATGTCAGCAGAATTCTGCCCGTGGATTAGCTCTGGGATTGACTGACAGAGGAAAGGCGTTACTTGTGCAAAGATCCTCCTGGAGAGAGACGCTTTTGTTTTGGAATACGAGCRCGCAGAGCGATACAACAACATGGTGAAAGCAGTGATAGAACCATTTAACCTTTTTGGCGATCTTGAGGAAATCAGAACTTGTAAAACACTTCCTGGAGAGAGGTGAAGGAGACGAAGCTGAGCAGATAACTGGGAGGTTTCCAACAAACTGGCCGCCCATGATTACACAAGCACTTATGAACAGCACCGCAACCAAAAATAAATAAATAAAAAGTAAAGTCAGAACGGTAAGACCACAACAGCTTTTTTAAAATTTAATTTAATTTAATTTAATTTAATTTAATTTAATTTTGTTTTATTTTTAATACAACAGCTGAACCCGCTGTGGACGGTCCGCCCATAATCACATCCACAGAGTGAGGGACACACTGCGTGGTAATACACACACACAGCAGAACCAACTCGAAGTGAATCGAGTAGAAACGAGTTCATAGAGATGGGGATAAACACAACCCGGGTCCAGGTGTAATCAGGCCAAGCTAACTACAGCTGGGGCGGGCCGAGTCGGGCCTTACAATGCAGAAATGCCTGCAGGTTTCTTTGCTCCAACACACCTGATTTGAATAAATGGGTGATTAACAGGCTTCTGCGGAAGGTGAAAAGGTAATTCAATCACTGAACCAGGTGTGTTGGAGCAGGGAAACAAGTAAAACACGCAGGACAAAATGTGCCAACTGCAGCACTTTAATGACATTTATCTTCAAAATAAAATATTAATTATGAAATGAAAAACCAATCAGAGGAAACATTTGTACCTTAATGTTTTGATTTGTGTTGCTTTGTTACAACAGCTTTAACCCATTTGACATCATTAGGCTGTTGATTTTGGAAAAGAAAAAGCATTAGAAACATGGAATGTAACAAAAAAAAAGACAAAGTAACCTTTGGGCACAAAAAGCTTGAAGATTATTAAGATCAGTGTTTACACAAAACAGGCGCTAAAGCTGTCACCGACCTGATTCAGCTTCAGCAGCTTCATGTTTGACAGCTTATTCTCTGGTGGGATTCTGTGAAGGAAGTTAATTGTAATGAGTGATTATGGTTGATGAGGTTCAGTGAGTGCCCTATTATACCTCAATTAATTTTCACTCTACTGCTCCGCTGAGGAGGAGTTAATAGGATGCAAATGAACAAATCAGCGAGGATTCTGCTCTGATCATCAGCTCTGCAGCCAGGAGTCCTGGAGTTCAATTTATCACTTTACAGTTGTGCAGTTAGGAAACTGTGTTGTGAAAAAGTTGTTTACTATGATGTTATAATAAGCGGGAATATTTGAAACAAAAAAAATCATGTATCATGATCACATGTGATGCTTTTSTTTATTTATTTGAGCTTTTTTAATGAGTATCTAGGATAAATGCAGTTTTGCTTGAAAAAGTAGCTCCAGTTTAGTTTTTGGGATTGTGTAAAGTACTTCTCAGTAGATAGTATCTAAACTGCAGTCAGAATGGTTTCAATTTGAAAAGTCAGGGAGAAGTTTAACCTACGAGTCTTCCAATTTAGGCATTATAAAAAGTAAAAAAAATACATGAAAATTAGCATAACACAATGGAAAAATGTACAATAAAGCATTGAAAAGCTTGTTGGTGACTCAACATAAGGGGRAAATTGCAGGAAAATATGTATATAAGTGCATTATACATGTGTTTTTAATTTAATGTTTATATGAACATTTTGAACAATTATTGTTTCTAAATAATTTGGATGGACACGTCTTCTGTTGTTGACCATTTTTAATTTGTAAATAAAGGATTTTTGTGCTCCTATGTAGTTGTAAA